GTTGGCAGTTAATTGGTCATAAATGGCTTACATCATGCTGTGATAAGGCCCTTCTATGCTTATTTTCTTCAGGATTTTTATCATAAATGGATGTTGCAGTCTGTCAAAGGCCTTTTCTGCGTCTACTGAGATGATCATGTGGTTTTTGTCCTTGCTTCTTTTTATGTGATGAATTATACTTACTGATTTGCATGTGTTGAATCATTCTTGCATTTCTAGGATCATAGTGTGTGATTATTTGTCACATTCTACTTGCCAGTATCTTAACAATCTTTGCATGTATATTGATTAAAGAAATTAGCCTATAGTTATCTTTTTTGGTTAGATCTTCATATGGTTGGGGATCAGGATAATAATAGCCTCCAGGAATCGTTTTGAAAGTACCCCTTCCTGAATTGATTTCATTGAAAAATTTGAGGAATATTGGTGTTAGATCTTCCCAGAAGTTCTCGTAGAATTTGACTGTGAATCAAACAAGTTCTGGGCTTTTCTTAGTTGGTAGTTTTTATCATTATTACTGTTTCAATTTTATTGTCCATTATTGGATGTCCAAGATTTTTAAGTGCTTATGGTTTAGTTTTGGTAATTCATATGCATCTGGAATCACTTCATTTCTTCTGAGTTTTCGATTTGTTTGACATATATGTTTGTGAAATAATTACTAATAATTTTTTGGATTTCAGAAGTGTCTTTTCACCTTTTTATTTCTAATTGTATTTATTCTTTCCTTTGGTAAGATTGGCTCAGAATTTGTATATTTTATTTATTATTTCAAAGAACCAACTTGTCAATTCTCCTATCCTTTGTATTTATTTTAATCTTCATTTTATTAATTTCTGTTCCAATCTTTATAATTTTGTTCCTTGTATAAGCTCTACGGTTGAATTTTTCTGGTGTTGCTAAGACCTTGAAATGCATCACTGAATCATTTATTTGGGACTAGTCTATTTTTCTGACTTAGACATTCAGCTGTATAAAATTCCCTCCTAGGATTGCTGTAATTATTTCCCTTAAGTTCTGGTACTATCGCTTAATTGTAGAAACTGTTATTTTTTTCCTCAATTTTCTCTCTGACCCATTCATGATTCAAGAATGTATTATTTTTAATTTCCATGTTTGCATAGTTTCTGTGCTTTCTTTCACTATTGACTTTTAGTTTCATTGCTCTGTGATTGATAATCTGCACAGTAAAATTTCAATTCTTTTGTCTTCTGTTAGCCCTGATGCTAATTTGTGGGTCTATTTTGAAGAAAGGCCCATGTACAGCCAATAGTAATGTTTATTCTGTTTTTGGGTGGAGCACTGTGTATATATCTTTTAGGTCCGTTTGTTTGTAGGTTTGGTGCAACTCTATTTCTTTGTTGATTTTTCTGTGTGATTGATCTATTTGTAATCGTAGAGCATTGAGATCCCCCTCTATAATTATATCAATGTTTATCTGATCTTTTATGTTCATTAGAGTTTGTTTTATAAAGTCAAATGCACCATGGTTTGGAGCATGTGTGTTTGTAATTGTTATCTCTTCCTGTTGAATAGTTCTGTTATTCAATATGTGACATCCTTCTTTGTCTCTTTTAATCAGCTTTGGCTTGAAATCTACTCTGAAAACAGGATAGCTACTTCTAGTTCTTGTTATGCATAATATTGATTTTTAAATTTTTAATCTACAGATTTTTCTGTAAAATATGTCCTTTGTATATGGCACACTGATAGATTTTTATTTCTCAATCCATTCTCTGACTCGTGAGTTGAGTCCACTTACATTAATAGTTATACTTGATAGGTATTGACTTGTTCCTGTCATTGTACTAATTTACTGTTGATACTTTGTTTTCTTTCCTTTCTACTTAATTACTTTCTCTACTTATGTACTCTTTTATTGGATCTTTTGGCATTGTTAGGTTTATTGTTTTCTTCTAGGATGTCCTTGAGACATTTTTAGAGTGTTGGTTTGGTGATCATGAATTTTCTTAGGTTTTCTTTATCATGGAACTGTCTTATTTCACCATCCATTCTGAAGGGTAATTTTTTAGTATATATCAGTCTGGGTTGGAATCTGTGTTCTTTAATAGTTTGAAATACTTCAATCCTTGCTCTCTTTGCCTTTAAAGTATGTGTTGAGAAATCTGTTTTACTCTGATATGGTTTTCTTTTATTGTTTCTAGCAGCCTTTAAGATTAGATTCTGGTGTTATATTTCTGGTATTTTAATTAGTATGTAAGCATGGAGTGTTTTTTGTTTGGTTGGTTGGGGTTGTGTGTGTGTGTGTGTGTGTGTGTGTGTGTGTGTGAGAGAGAGAGAGAGAGAGAGAGAGACCATGATTATTGAAGTTTCTATATGCTTCACTTATCTGTATATTAAATTCTTTTTCCACTGGAAACTTTTGTGCTATTACTTGTATAAACATGTTTTTATATGTCCTTTGTGCTATATTCTGGTTTTTCTCTGATTCCAATTACTCATGTTAGACTTCTTTAAGTCATCTAGGAACTGTTGCCTCTATTTTTCTTGTTCCCTTTTTGTCTTTCAGGTGTCTCACGCTGATTGATCATGGAGCACAGCCTTGGCCTCCATGTTTCATACCATATCTTTGTGTTGGTCACTTCTGCTACCCATACTTTCATTTATATTTTTAATCTCCTTCATTTCTATTCTAAACGTTCTTATGGACTCCTACTCTTTTCTGTTCTGGGCCCTCATGTTTTACAGCCCTTTTTTTAGCTGGCAGCAGTGCCAACGTTCAAACATACCACCAGATTAAATTCCTTCTTCTCCAGGGCCACCCCGCTCACAGTCACTCCCACTGAATTTGGCCTATCACAACAGATGACAGGCCCCAGGATCATTCTGGTCTGAGTCCAGGGATCCCAGAAAATCCCTACTTAGCTCTCACTCTCTCCAAGCCTATGTCCCAAGGCTGTTTCTCACCTACTTTCTGTAGAAGCGTTCACTTTAGTCCTGGATCAAAACTATCCCTCTGAGTGTTGGTCTTGTCTTCAATCTGATCAATCCATTGGTTGTCAGTTCTGTTGCCCTATGGCAGACAGCCCAGGGACTAGGGTGGGGCAGTCAATTCCCAAGTCCTCCAGGCTCAGACTCAGGTTCCAGGGAGGGCTATAGCATTGGCCTGGGGCTGTCAGATTTTAATAATTCCTTGTTTTGGAAGTTATTTCTGCTTTTGTATTTCTGCCACCCCATTTATGTGCATGCTCTTATAAACATGTAACTTTGCTCTTGGATGAAAATTCACTATCCAGTTATTTGTGCCCAGATTAATAATTTTTTCTTGAATACTATATCTATTAATTTTCCTTGAATGAACTGATAAAATCAGTTTTTCTTTTAAAAGCTTTCCAGGGTGTTTTTTTCTCTTTTTCTAACTTTTAATTTTAAATCCCCAAGTTATAGTTATTTATGTTAATAACATATTGGAATTGCACACAGGAAAATGTGTAAGGAATGAGAAATAGTGGAGCTCATGTGAAGAGTGAAGCAGTGGTGAAGGAAAGTGAGTGCTCTGCGATTCTAATCTTGCTTTGAAAATGCCTCTTGATGGTTAGAGTCTTCAGAAAACCAGTCTCCTGGTAATACTGCTGGCAGATTTTTTCTTAATAATCATTTTCTTTCCTGAAGGGTCATAATTTATTAAACCTGTCAATAAAAATGTTTTAGGGCTTATTTTCCAAAACAAAGTACTGTTTAGAGGAATAAACTAAACTTCTTAGGTATACTGCATTGCTGTTTAAAAAATAATTCAGGACAAGGCCTGTGAATGGAAATGGAGTGCCAGGTCACATTCTGCTTTAAGAGGTAACAAATAAAGATAAGTTTTATAAAAAAAATGTTTTGGGGTGTGAAATCTAAGCAAAACTCTATATGCTTCTAATCAAAGTCATTAACACCAGAGGTATTAACATCTATTGTGCATTTCTATAGATTACTTTTGCCTCTGCTCTCAGAAATGTGTGTGACACAAAGAAGCTATGCCTTTTCCTTAGTCCACATGGAACCACAATGGAGCTGCATGTTCCAGAAACATTTGCAGGATAGTTGCTTAAGGTGCTAAGTGTGTACATGTTGCTTTTAGCAGCATCACAATGAAGACCAGGGTAAAATAATAATTTCTCTCTGTCTCCCTCCTTCCTTCTCTCGCTCCTTTTTCCTGCCTCCCTCCCTCCCTCCCTCCTTTTTTCCTTCTTTCCCTGTTAAAAATAACCACCAAAACTCTCGGACCTTATAACAGTGTTATTTGCTCTATCATCTATTTGTTACTAGCAAATATTAATGTAGTTTTGATGCTATTGGATGCATTGATAGTTATATCTAAACCTATGGTAGAAATCTAGCGACACTGACTAATCTGTGACAATGCGCATGTATGTATAAGTTAGTTGATTATTTTAAATTCATTCCATTTGGCATGGTGCTTTTTGGTTATACTTGGTAATATTTTTATATACACTTATATGTCATCATAAACGAAGCAAGGTAATAGAGAACTTGGTCTTTAGTTTTTAGATCTTGAGTCTATAAAATTAAAAATAGGTGTACATAACGCAAGACTATTGGCTATACACAAGGATTAATATGAGACACCTGTAGGAAAATGGATGCACCTAAGATAATGTTAGGTGAAATAAATCATTCACACAAGCTTAACGAGGTGTCACGTATCAAATGCCGACAATGAAGGTAAACATCTACGTCATAACAATGAGCTAAAAATAATAACAATAAACACAAGAATGAACGTGGAAAAAGGGATTTAGAGCAGGAGAGCAGAAAGTGTGGAGGAAGGGAAAGGGGTTTTAAAACAAGAGTCAGGCTGTATTATATACCTGCAGCTATTCCCTAAAACGAATGTAAATTTCATGTATTGCAAATGTGTACTGATACAAGAAAATGTTAAAATTTGGAAGCAAATTTTGCTTAATTTCATTATTGCAGTAGTTTTTATTTTAAAAAATTGTAATGAACTGTTATTGTTTTTACTGAATTAGGCCAGACTTAGACCAAGACTTCCAGGCGTATTCCTACAAGTCAGGAAAACTGCATGCTCACTCTTCCCTTCTGAAGGTAAGGGTTGACCTCTCCACTGCAGATTAACGTACTTTATGGGGATTAGGCACTAGAGTTGGAAAGAAGAAGAATGCTTGTCTTCTCCACAAAGTTTTGGGGAAAACTGATCACAAATCCAAGAATAATATACTAAATACCAAAAGCATTTTGCACAGAAAAGCCTGACTTGAAATCTAGCACACAACAATCATCTACCTAAAGAAGACATGTATTAGGAGTTTTAGGAGATTAAAAATGTGAATTTTCATCCTTTACATTATGATTTACCAACATTTCCTTTAATGAATAGTGGTAGTGGTTGGTGTCACACATGAGAATTCTATATAGTCTAATTTCTGCTTTTCTTCTAAACATTTTATAGTTTTCTATTTTCTGTTTAGTTCTGTATTTGGTTTAGTATAATTTTATGTAAAGTGTGAGGCTTGAATACAGGTTCATTCTCTTGACTGTGGACCTGTGAGTGTTTTAGAGCTATTTATAGCAAAGATTATCTTTCTGCATACAACTATTCTTGTACCTTTGTTGAAAAATCAGTGGAACATACTTGAGTGGGCAATTTCACTCCATTTAATCCTCTTTTGTGTATATTTTTTATTATTGCCATATATTTCTTTTTGCTATATCTGTGTCTTAAGTATTAATGTTATTACAGTGATTCAATCCACTTTATCCTTTTGAGGTAATTTTTAATTATTTGACTGCATTGTGGTTTTCATTATAAATTTTAGACAAACATACACTATGTACAAACTTTTTTTAGGATCATGATGAAAATTATGCTTAACCTATGGATTGATTTTGAGAGAATTGATCTTTTTACTGGGTTGGTTCTTGTAATCTGTGACTTAAGTAAGCCTCCCATTTATTTGATATATTATGAATGTCTTTCATCAATATTGGTAGTGTTGTCATTCAGATCCTGTATATTTTTATAGTCTTATAGCAATTACTGCTAGAGTTGTTTTCAGTTTCCATGTTTGTTCTGATATCTAGAAAGTCAGTGTACTTGTTTATGTTGATCTTACAACTTGTAATGTTACTGAAGTGACAGTCTTCCTACTTTTTTGTATATTCTTTCAGATTTTTCTACATAGAATATTCTTTTATTTTATTGTTAACTTTTTATTAGTATATATTTTCAGTTCATAATGTTTACATTCTTTGTGTGGAGTTGGTAATACACATAACACATCTTAATTACTTTTTAAATCCCCTTTTCCTCCATTCCTTCCCACCACCATCCATCTCTGGCCCCCTTCTCGTTTGAGAAAGACCCATCTCCCTAATTCCTACTATCTATTTTTTCTTGCTTTTATTAAACTCTGGAGTTCTCATATTTTAAAAACTGTGATATTTGCACGTGTGTGTTTAATTTATTTCACTTAACACGTCCTTTTAATCTGAGATTGATTAATTGTTCTTGCTACAAGATCCAATACAAATGTTGAATGAGAGCAGTGAAGACAGGTGTCACTATATTGTTCCTATTTTAGGGATGAAATATTTGAGCTTTAATGAAGATAGTATTGCTGGAGGTTATATGTCTTATGCTGTTTATTGGGTTAAAAATTTGTCTTCTTTTTCTTCCTTTTCTTCTTCTTCTTCTTGATTTTCAATAACTGGTATTTAGTTGTATCAGATGATTTTTCTGAAGCAGTCATTCTGATATTCTGTCTTTTCTTTCTTGATCTGTTAGTGGAAGTGTAAGTCTAATTTTGTCTTAAAGGTCCAGAAACATGGATCTTTCAGAACCACATTTATTCTTTAGAACATTTCTATTGATGAATTACTAATTTTGATTTTGTGAGTTTTATTTAAAAATGAGTACCTTACAGGAAAAAAATCACAAAAATAAAGTATTAAATGTTTAATATTTACTGAGTGTTTAAAAAGCATCAAAACTTTCAACATTGACTGTATTTGGTGTACTGTCTAAAAAAGAACACCACAAATTCTTATGTGAACTACAATGATAATACTAATAGCACTTTACATTAAACAATATTTCCTTCAATTGTCACACCTAAGGCAGTCTGCACACATGACAAGCATGTTCCATACACCATGACAGCACATGTGTTTTGCTTTCCTGGGCTTTTTGTAGGACATAGTTGACATCTCAGTGGTCTTGCTGCTTTCTCAGGGATTCTTATTCTATTATACAGTGTGTATTTAGCAGGAACATAAAATATTAATAAAGTAATAAATTCTTAATATGGATTGTGTATTTAGAATAAACATCAATATTTTCCACTGGCTGTGTACTTGCTTACAAAAACTAAAGGATCCATCAGAAATAAATTCCTGTATGAGTTACAGTGAAAATACCAATAAAACTCTGCCACTAAAATAAACTTCAGTTGTTATACCCAGTGCAATCTTCACACATGACAACCTCACATTCCATATACACGTCTCACACTGACAGCACATGTGCTTATCTTTTCATTCCTATGTGATGCTCTTTTTACCCCTCTTTTCCTGTTTGGTCAAGAATTGCTTATTATATTATAAAACATGTACCTAGCAGGGAAATAAGGTATCAATAAAATAAAATAAAATATCAAGTGGGTAATGAGTACTTAGACTAAACATTGACATTTCATATCAGCTGTTTACTTGCTTACAAAACTTGAAACATAACATCAAATATAGAAACCTATGTAAACTACAGTGTAAACACAAAGGTCTGTGCCAGACAGAAGCTTCGCTACAACTGTGGCACCCAAAGCAGTCTTCATACATTAAGACTGCATGATCTATGCACAAGTATCATTTACACCGATAGCATATATATTTTATTTTCTTTTAATTTCTTGTAGAGCACAATTGACAACTTTTTTGTTTTCCTGTTCTTGTAGTACATCTTTGTGATGCTGCACCTGCCCCTTCACCCTTCAGCTCACTAATGTGCTCCACAATTTTTTAGGTAGTTCCCTAGGTGGTAACATTTTGTTTTTCTTCTGCTATAAATGGCCTCTTTTGAGCTCCAGTCCCAATCCTCTAGGAGAATTTCTCTGTGATATTTTGTACTTGTTATTTTCTTTGTAAACTATCAAACTATTTACGCTACACATATGCTCTATATTTTTAGACCTCTTTTTAACATTAGATTGTTTCGTTTGGTTGCATGGCCATTTTGTAATATTTCAACTTGTCAAGTACATACTTACATTGGTGTTTTCTTCTTCAACTGAATCAACTGACTGTATCAATCTGTATCAGTCCATTCTTACTCCATTTGACTATCACAGGAACTTTGGCTCACACAGCCAGTGTCAGTGTCAGCACCATCATCAATCATCACCATCATCGTTATCCACTCACACCACTATTCTGTTATGAAAGCATGTAATTTACCATAGTGTATCATCTTCATTCATGTGCAATCTGATGGTTCACTTATGACCTCCTTCAAAACCAGCAAATCTGGCTTTTCATGTACTTTTCATAGTACTGACTTGAGATACTTCTACCAGAAAAATTGAAAGAAAAATTTTTTAATGAATCCTGGAATGCTGTGGATCTATTTGGCCCTCTGGTTGGCTAAACATACTCACTAGAGAAAGCATAAGGTCAGTAAAAGTCCTGTGTTGCTACTTTTGTACACATGCACCAACTTTGTCATTTGTCATACATAGTGGATAAACAAATAGTTTGCTTCCTGTGTCCCTCAAGGAAAAGTACTGTGATGTGCAGCCATCTACTATTATGCTAAAATACAAATTTACATTGGAAAAGTAAGGAGTGGGCTTGCTGGCCCAAATGTCAAGTATCTGGGCTTATAATGGTGAATTACACTGAGTCTCAGATCCTAAAACAGAGGGGTAGGGATATAGCTTAGCAGGCACAATGCCTGCCTGGCAGGTGTGAGGTCATGAGTTCTGTTCCTGGTACCAAAAAAAAAAAAAATATATATGCTGAACCAGTATTGCAATTTCTTACTGGTAATTACTGATAATTTCTTGCAATTATTTTTGTCATTGTGCACAAAAGATAATAGTAGTGTTGGTCATTCTTTGCTTAACAACTTTGTCAGTTTGTATGTTAGAGGGATACTTGAGTCATAAATCATATTGGTTGCAATAATTCCCCCTTTATTTTTGGGCAATGTAGAATAACATAAATATTAATATATTTGATAAAGTTTTTCTGTGAAGTCTTTTGAGCCTGTTAATATTTTGTTTGTGGGAACCATAAAATTACTGATTCACTTTATTTAATGATTAGAGGAATGTTAAGTTTATTAGTTTTGTCACCAGGAATCTGGGTCCTGATACAGCAAGAAACCAGCCCTTCCCTTCTTTGGTCCTTTGTGCCTTTGATGAAAGAGTCTATTCAAACAAGAAGGCAGGCCCTGTCACCAAGTTATCTGCAGTGAGTGCAAGTTTGGATACCTTTTCATGTATATAAGTTTCTCCTGGTATGTAGGGAACTAGGATAATTATGAAGCTTTTCAACATTTTATTTAGATGTTACGTTGAAATTTCAAAATGTTTTTCTGAATTTTTTAGATGGTCAGTGTTTCCACAAGGGATTTAATCATTTAAGACATTTATAGCGGATGTTAATTTAAACCAAGTCTTAGCCCAAAGTAACAGGATGGGAGTGGGGTGTCTTTGAAGCACATTTACTTTCCTGATGCCATTGGGCCATGAGCTATGGAAGCTGGAATACTTTATGCCTTATTCTAGTGTTAGCCATCCCAGTCAACAGGTACAAATGTGTGCAATACAACCTCACTGTGGTTTGTAGGATCACTTTAGGGCTACCCACCATTATACTGATATACTCTGAAAATGTAAATATGTGGATACCGCATATAAACGATTTATGATATTTTACCTTTATTTGAATACTTTGTTTGAATCTGAATGATGTCCTAAATGTTCATCTATGTTTTCAAATATTGCATAATTTTCTTATTTTTCTGAGGCAGAGGGCTTTAAATTACTTAAGTGTACTCCATTTTCTGTATCCATTTTTTGTCAACAAAT